CTATCTCTGAATTGCTACAGAAATTACGTGAAACGCCTGTTTCACTATTATAGTGCTCCTATGTGAAAAGTTTTGGCTGTGCAAGCTATTTCTAAGCAGCTTCGAAAAGCTCATCCTTCAGTACGCTGCTGTAAAGCCCTTAAGTTTCCTTGCTGCAAGCTGCTTTTATTAAACTAGCCACTTAGTAGAACTTAGAAAATGGTTTTACAAGCGTTGTGAAATGCTGATCATATATATATATCGCTTAAAAGCGCTATACAGGATTTATACCCAAAATCGCTGAAAAGTGCCGTCTCTTTTCTTGTATTTAAGCATTTCGCAAGGCTTTCAGTTAAAAGGCACTGTCCAACCAGACAAGACTCTTGAAAAAACACGTTAAAACGCGTAAAAGTTTTCTAGATGTACGGGTTTTTACCCATTTGCAGCGCAAACTTCACGAGTCTTATAACGTTCAAGGCTGAAACACATATTAATGCGCAAAGATTTGTTAAGAAAACATATTTTTGTGTGAATTTTTCTGAATGAGTTTTATTGTTTTCAATAAAAATTCGTTATTTCTCGTTTTTTAAGCGATTCAACACGTTTAACTAAATTCGTCTCTTGAAATTAGCTTAACTGCAGAATTTTTAGTTGATCTATTTGACGATCGAGTTTTCTTAGAATCATTGAAGTTCTTGGTTTTTCATCTTGGCATAAACAAATGATGAAAGTTGTGTAAAACTATATAATTAAAAAGTGATAAAGAATAAATCTAGAAAATTATATATTAGCATTTAGTATTGATGAAAAAGAAACTACTCGTATGAAGTACTTCGTAAATAAAAAAATCGTATTGACTGAATAGAAATGACTGAAGCGCAACTACCGTTTTTTTCTCTGTTACATCGCTTTCCTATTTATCAAGAAATGAACCCACGTATTCCCAATTCCCATGAAAAAAGTTGTTGAAATCAACGTTCCAATAACAACTGTCAGGAAAAAAATGCTATTTTTGCGTTTGAATGCATTGATTTTTATTACAACACGTTCGAATGCATCGTTTTTTGTCTGTCGCACATTTTTTCATTTTAAAACGTTACCTAAAAATTCTATTTAAGCATGTTTATGAGAGGTACGTCTTTTGTCTGCAATAAACGTCATTGGAATTATCGCCCGAATGCGCTTTCTTTTATGCGCTTGAACGCATTTATTTTTCATATATTCAAACCCACTTTTTTTTGCATTCTTTTACTGAAAAAAACGCATTTTTTTGAAATATTTTTTCCTATTGAAAAACGAATTTTGCTTACAGACAAATTAATATATTTACATTTTTATTAAGAGTAAAAAATCCTGTTTTATGAGCTGAAGTTTCCTACCATTTAGGCAAACATTTTGAAATATCAGACTAAAAAATACACCGTTTAAATAGATCCGTTACAGAGATGAATGTTATGAGTACTACCCATGTTGCCGATAATAGAAATAATGGATGCAGCTAGATTATAATGCAACCTATTTCATGCATTTTAATGCATTGTAATGCATTATTTGCAAACATAATGGATTAATATGAATGAAATAGGTTGCATTATAATCTAATTGCATCTATTATTGTCGTTATCGGCTACATGGGTATGTATTAGAATATATTTTAATATTAAGAAAGAAATAGTTGAGTAACAAAAAGAGTAAATGCAGATGGATTAGACCAAGTTTAACCTAATTGAAAAAAATCCTTGGCTAAATTTGAAAAGTTATGGATAAATATATGTTAGGGTAACAACTCAGTTAAATTTTTATCCTTCAGCAATTCGATATACAATGTCTTCTTTAATTTTTAACAAAACTTCTAATGATCCATAGCTAGAGCGTTATTCTTATGACATATTTAGTTTATTCAAGTTAGATTTGAAAATGATAAAATAGTTCGTGCTGTTTTTTATTTCCTTCAGTACTCGACTCAATTTTTCCAGTTATTGGTTTTTTTATATAGTCGTCGAGGAATGCTAACCGCTCTATTCCCCATAAGAGCTCGCATATATATAAAACTCGTTCAAAAAAATAATGCACTTTAACAATCATAGCTTCTTTAGTTATCTTCAAATACAATTTGCGAGTAATACAGATAATAATCATGGTCTTTCATTTTTATTGTCTATTTTTTTGTCTATACATAATTTTCTATCTTCTGCTTCTTTAACAATCAAACCAATGCACCGTGAAATGCATGCATTTATTTCTCTTTCTTTTATGTCCCTTATGTATCTAATTGGTAAACTTATAATATCACGATAAAGTTGAACTGAGCGTAAACAAAGAATTACAGAGTATTTTAGTCAGACAATTTTTTTACAAAAGTATTTGTATTTTTTCTGCTTATTAGTTAAAAGATTCTTTTGGACAAATCTTAGCTATTCTTTTACAATCTCCTAAATTAACTGATACATACATGGTACCCATACAGATAGATAATACATGTGCACATATTTCCCAGAGATATTGAGTTTCAAAAAATAAAATTAAAATTATTATTAGCAGAAAAAATAACTTATAGAAAATTTATCTAATAGAATATAGATCTGAGAGTAAAGCTATAGCGACGTAGACACAAGGATATGAGCATCGTAGTATAGATAGAAACTATAAATGTAATGGTGTATGTATAAGAGTATACGGATAAACATCTAGATATAAGAGTACAAGGATAAGGACACAGGTGTAAAGATATAGAGTTAAACCTATAGATATAACGATTTGGGATAAGAGCATCGGTATAAGAGCAAATTGGTGAAGCTATACACATAAGGATATAGATATAGGAGTTTTCCGCCTCTGAAACTTACTTAGCTGAAGCTGGAGAATATCATAGTGTTTTATTATTTTCAATGGCTCAAATTCATAATGAATACAGAATATACCTCTTTTAATGTCTATGTCTCATTCATCATCTTTAGGATTTTTACATCATTTACTCATTACATGATCTCTATTGTATCTCAGTATCTTTTTTTTAGACTGTTTTATTCGATAATTGTCACGTATATTCTGCAGTTTTATGTTTAATTTCTTTAGCATATAATGATGACGTCAACGGTGGGTTCAGCTGAGCCAGAACTTAATTGAGCTAACGCTGAAAATTTTTTAGTATTAATATGTACAAGACAATTTTCACATCACATAGGTGACGATTGAAAAACAGAATATCAATTTTTTGTGATGAAACTGATGACTAACTCTAAACCATTTCTAACTTTCAACTTTTAAATGAAAATCTACTGATGTACACTAAGTAAGAATGTGTCGTATGTGCCGTGATTTGCGACACATTGTACAATACATTAAAGTGCGATACATTTTCTTCAGCAAGACCACGACACATTCAACACATTTTCTATTGGTCCTTTTGGAAAAGTATATTTCAAATTTTTTTTCAATTTAATTCTATTTAATTATTCCTATTCTGCAAACTCAAGCAGGTCAGATCCTGGGATCTGTCCGATTTGCATCGAGACCGCTTCAGGATAGTCCTCTCTCGATCATGGATCGAGATTAGCAGTTTCTCGACAAAAAGAATTATCGAGAAATAATCTAGAAAAAACGAATATTTTGAAAATTTATCTTTCATACATTCAACCGCATTATTTATATATCGCAATGTGTGCATAACAAAATGGTGAACGAATAGTCCGCAAAAAGAATGCGACAAATTCGTATACGACACATTTTTGTGCTAGAGTGCGCGACACATAAACACGACGCCTTTAAATTTAGTGTGCGTCAATTGTAATTCCAAGTGATATCTGAATGATAGAACTTCTCAAAACAACTTTAATATTATAATTGTTATTCATAAAAAAAATACTTTTGACACGAGTTTCGATGAGCTATTCTACTCGAAAACCAATGAATAACAGTGGACTTACTGTTTTGTTATTTTTATTAATGGAATGTGTGTTTGAAATAGATATAGAATGAATGCTAAGGATCCTTCAAAATAATCACATGAATAATAACAAGATATTTCCTGATATTTGATGATTTATTTTCTTTCATAATAAATAATGTAGTAAACAATATTTCATATTGTGCAATAATCGAGTACATCGGACAACATTCGAAGCTTTTAACTACGTATATACTCAGCAAAGGTCCAACTAGACCATGTTTTAGAGGCCTGTACGGCCTGTCAATTTTTTCAAGCGAATAAAATAATGATGACTGACTAGAAACCAGAGGTCCAATGATGGCACTAAGGCTACTATCCTATCCGAGCCTGATCTGCCTGCCATAGACACAGGCCACAATTTTTCAGACCAGCGCCAATCACAAGTCCAAGAAGATTGCTGGCCTGTTGGCCTGTCACTTACGCTGGTCTGAAAATCGTGGCTCATACCTATGACAGATAGGTCAGTCTCGGGTAGGATAGTAGTCCTAGTGCTCTCTTTGGATCTCTGGTTTCTAGTCTCTCATCATTATTTTATTTGCTTGAAAAAGTTGACAGACCTTGGCAAACCGTACAGGCTTCCAAAACGTGGCCTGGTTGGACCTTTGGTATACATGTATTTTTCTTACTTCACAACTGGTAAAATTTCCTTAGTGACCTCACAAATAGTACTCAAGAGCAGTGTTTGTTTGCATTATTCGCATGAAAAAAACTTTGAATAAACTTCTATGGCTAACCAAAAAATCAATTCCTTTGAATGAATCCAAATGGAGAAATTCAATTTTTCACCATACTGTTATCACCCACATAGTATATCACTATTTCATTTCTATGTGTATGTTGCAGTAGAAATTAAAATTCCACTAGTAGAATTTTAATTTCTACTCCAACATATATATGAACTTTCACCAGAATGTTATATCTAAAAAGTATTTCAAAAATGCATCTAACATAAATTTGAATATTTTGAAGTACATATCAAGACATTTATCTCTCTGATATAACCTTTCTCTTTACATGACTATTTTATTCTTTGAAGAAAAATTCAGTTAATAACAATGATGTTTTTCGTTTGTTATTTATTCGTTGGTTTTACAGATGCATTTATAGTTGTTTCATTATGTTCTATACGATGCCGAGGAATCGAAGCAGCTGCTATTGGTACAATTCGATTCCCTCCACAAGAAACCAATAATAAACGAAAAAAATCAATTAATTCTTTACGAAATCTACGAGATGTAAGTGTATATAAATAAAATGATGTAACTGGAAATAAGTATAACATCAATTCCGCTAGAAAATTAAGAAATGATTCAATAGCTGATTGATCACTTGATCGATTAGAAATCGTTATTGAGATTGTACTAAACACTAAACTGCACAATTGAGGACTTGTAAATATAATATAACATATAATTTGAACGAATAATATCTTAAGAACTTGTTGATCAAGTGGATTTCGTTGATAATCAACTAAAGATAGTTGTGCTCGTCTTTGATGTTTATGTGCAAGATTTCGACGAATAAAATATGCACATATTATCATAATCATAGCTGGAAATATTCCACCTCCAATAATAACATA